TTTCCTTCAGTAAATCTATTCTGTGTAGCTTTTTTGTCACCCAATCGTTTAACAAAATATTTAAAAAAATACAAAATAGCTTTCTGAAAAGACGAGACAACAGTATTAAAATCGTTCTGGATTTCATATTCAGACAAAGAGGATTACGATACGTGTTTCATCTTTCAATAACTCTCTTTTCCTGTTTTCTTTTTTCCGTGTTAGAGGAGGTGTAGAGGCGAGGCAGAGGGGGGGAGGGGGGAGAAGAAAGGGGATCTTAGAAGTAGGAACTCTGCTTAATAGCATTTTTTCTGTCCTCTTTTTGCTATGAATATAATACGTATATTCCCTTTGTGCCATTGTCTCTATCTCCTTTATTTGCTTGTGTTCTCCTTTACATTTTAAGAATGATAATCTACTTACTTCCATCGCTATTTTTCACTTCCCTTTATCTCAAAAATCTTACACCTTTTTCTATATTTTCTGGTTTGTATTCCCTTATTTTATCAGTATTTCCCTTATTTAAAAGCTTCACAGCGTGCTCCTCCCTTATAAGTACCAGACCGCTTTCGTTTTTTATTGGTTAATGTAAGTAACATCTTATGCGTCTTTATATCTGACCTTTGTCACGAAAAATAAATTTACTTTCTTTCGTTTCTAGTATCTAGTTTTCTTTTAGCATTGGCCTTGATTTCTTTACTTCTTCATTTCCTTATTCATGTTCGTTCCCTTGTAACTTTATGTGTGATTCTTCTATTGTTTCTTTGTTTATCTTTTCCTTTAGTGAGTTTCGTCTACCCTTTTCTTTAATTCTATATTAATCTCTTAATCTTTCACATGTTCTGTTTCAAATTATATTTCTTCTAAAAAAATATCCTACTTGAACCCTCTACTAATTAATTGATAATCCCATATCCTTTTGATTCAACTACTTTTATCACGAAATGTTTTTAAGTGTGTCTTTCCCCTTTTAGACACAACTAACTTTACTGTTTGTCAGTTTGGTAAGTCCGGTTCTTGTATAAAGAATATATATACTTGATTATCTGTCCTTGTTAAATTATCTGTCCCTGTTATTACAAGAAATTAAGTTTTAGTTTGATGTTGAACTTCCTCAACGATATCTTTAACTTTGTCGTCTCGAAAGTTTATATCTATTTATCCATGTCCTTTGTGAATTTGCTTCGCTTCTTTTTTCTCACTAATTAAGTTTTCCATATTCTGTATTACTACATCCGCTTCCGTAAATTAGTCACCTCTATTCTACTCATTGTATTTATCATTATTTTTCTGTGTAGCTTATCTGTACACTTATATTACTACCAATGCATCCGAGCTTTATACTTACCTTAATTCTACATTGAACATTAACTCTATGTAAAAATAATTTATGTAGATATAGATAGATAGATGATCGCATAGGCAGATAGATTGATAGATTTATAGATAGATAGATATACATATAAACAGACAAACAGGTAAATAGATACAGAAGCATATAGATATAGACAGATAGAGCTATGAATATAGACATGCCGAATATATGTATACGAATATATGCAATTCGAACAGCCATTGTACAAAGAAAGAGCTATCTGTATAGATATAATATCTCTATATATCAAAGTATGTGAACAGGTCTAAACAGTTCCATAAATGTCAGTAGATAATTTGGAAAATAATAATGGCTACGTTTTTTTAATAATGGATTTCGAGGTTATATAGATGAGGGAAGGAAACGAGAGAAAAAATCTACGGTCATACGCTGCCATGTTTAACTTACTAAAGGCTCAAGTGAACGAGACATTTAACCCATTGCCGCCGGGGATGGCATGTACGTACATGCCATGCCCACTGTGAGTCGACTTGTTCGATTGTTTTTACACATAGATGGCTACACTTGTACTAAGTATCCAATGAGCCAATTGCGAGTACTGCCTGTCTCGCCTGTTCACCCTTTTCATCGATTTACGAAAATATTTAACGTTATCCTAATTTGCTGTTAAAAATAACACCATTTATATTTATAGCACTAGTAAGAATACGTTTTTTCCCGCCAATTCTAGGAAAGGTGAAATCAGGACTAGCAGAGCCATCTATGGACAGACATATTTCACAAAAATATAAAAAATGAGTACTGTATTCTCCCCATTTTTTGTTCATTTTCCCCGGCGGCAATGGGTTAAGCAACAGAATACACGCTTGATAGGTGAATTATCGAATCTGAGACAAGGTAATGAACAGACAGAAAATTATCCAAGGTGCCAGTTATACCCTCGATGGTAATCAGCGTCAAGAAATCAGCGCCTCCATTACTGATAGTCTGATAATGGTTACAGACAATGCCGGGATCTCTGTAACATGGAGCCAGACCGAACGCAATGAGGCTTCGCGTCCCCCAGGTGCCATCTGGAGAGTTTGTGCTCCTTCTCCTCCTCCTCCTCCCACTCCTCCTCCTCACCCCTCTCCTCCTCCCTCTCCTCCTCCCTCTCCTCCTTCCTCTCCTCCTTCCTCTCCTCCT